TATATATATATATATATCAGTAAATGATACTTCCTCATCCTTTTCTGTGATTCATGTTCCCATTTTAAATGTGCCCTGTTCTATTTATGTTCTGAATATGATTAATAACAGATCATGCAAACATTTCCACAAACATTTTTGAAGAAACACGTTAGATCTGTGCTGTATTTGTTGTTTGAAACTAAACCTAGACACACAATCCACAAATAATTCCTATTATTTTATAATGTTTTTCCTGTTGTTCATGTCATAAAGATGAGCTATGTGAACCACCTATTTATTGCTGATTTATAATATTTCATTACATAACCGAAAGGTGTTTTGCTTAGTGTTTATGGGAGAAATAAGTGACCCATATCATACGGAGAAGTCTGTCTTAAAACCAAGAAAATAACCATATATTTTTTATCATGCTAACACTACACCACTTCCAAGAGCCTGTACACATGCTTCTATATATAGGGATAAGACCATACTTCTTCCAAGAGCCTGTGCACATGCTTCTATATATAGGAATAGACCACACCACCTCCAAAAGCTTGTACGCATGCCTCTATATATAGGAATAAGCCCACACACTTCCAAGAACCTATATACAATACATGTGTCTATATATTGGGATAAGACCACACTTCTTCCAAGAGCCTGTACACATACTTCTATATATAGGCATAAGACCACACCACCTCCAAGAGCCTGTACGCATGGTTCTATATATAGGAATAAGACCACACTTCTACCAAAAGCCTGTAAAAATGCCTCTGTATATAGTACTAAGACCACACTACTACCGAGAGCCTGTACACATACTTCTATATACTATATAGGGATAAGATCACACTTCTTCCAAGTGCCTGTACACATGCTTCTATATAGAAGGATAAGACCACACTACTACTCTGAAGATCCTGTACACATGCTTCTATATAGAGGAATAAGACCACACTTCTTCCAAGAGCCCTTACACATACTTCTATACTGTAATTAAGGATAAGACCACACTTCTACCAAGGATTTGTATACAGGCGTTTTTTATGTGGGGACAAGACCACACTGCTACCAAGAGTCTGCACACATTTCTGTATGTGGAAAAAGACTACACCACTACCAGGAGTCTGCACACATTCTCTGTCTCAGGACAAGACCACACCAAGTCTGCACACATTCTCTGTCTTAAGACAAGAACACACCACTACCAAGAGTCTGCACACATTCCCTGTCTTAGGACAAGACCACACCACTACCAAGAGTCTGCACACATTGTCTGTCTTAGGACAAGAACACACCACTACCAAGAGTCTGCACACATTCTCTGTCTTAGGACAAGACCACACCACTACCAAGTGTCTGCACACATTCTCTACTGGTGACAGACACACATTCTATATGTGGAGAAAAGACCACACCTCTACAAAAATCCTTCACACGTGTGTATCTGTGTGGAGACAAGACCACACCAATACTAAGAGCGTGAACACATGTGTATCTGTTTGGGGACAAGACCACACTACTACTAAGAGCCTGAACACATGTGCCTTTATGTGGGGACCAGACCATACTGCTGACAAGAGCATGCACACATGTGTATCAGTGTGGGGACAACACCACACCACTGCTAAGAGCCTGCACACATGTGCCTGTATGTGAGGACCAGACCACACTGCTACCAAGAGCCTGCACACATTCCGTATGTGGAGAAAAGACCACAACTCTACAAAGCGCATGCACACATGTGTCTATCTTATAAACCCCTAACCCAAAACAAGTACGCAGATAAGAACTTTAGACTTTTCAAAAGGAAGTAATCATTGGCAGTCCC